CAGTGCTCGAATTGGCCAAAAATAAGTAGGGGAGCTCAACTTAACAATTTGAAAACTGCGTCCCTAGCATTTTGAAGACTTTTTTTTTTTTTTACTCATTACTTTATTTAGTATTTATTAATAAATTATATTTCATTATCATACTAATATTTAAAAAAAAAAAAGAGGTGGTATTTTCCCAACCGTCCTCATAAAAAAAAGTAGTTGGGGTGCGCAAAAAATTTAAAAAAAAGTAGAGGAGCTACGTCCCCCTGCGCACCCCACCCCCCCAATTCGAGCACTGTACATACATACATACATACAGGTGAAACTAATATAAGCGTGTTAATATGTCTAAAAAATTTATGTTCTCTCGAGATTTTACATCAGGAATTAAAAAGTTAAGTTAAATTTTTTTTATTTATTCTTTAGGCATTATAAAGATATTTCTTTAAATGTATAACATTTTTATAGAGTAATAAAATGGTATACTGGTGAGCTGAATTCAAAATTTAAAAAAAGAATTCAAATACTCGTATAATATTCTTTAAAATACAATTTAAAAGATTTATTGATTGTGTTTTACTCTAAGGAGAAGGGATGAAAGAGGTAGCTTTTATAAGTTCTAAATTTTGTGTTTACCTTTTTAGGTTTACAAAAGGTCATAGCGGCTTTTCCTAAAGGGGGGAAGGTAATCATATTTATTAATTTTTTATTCTTGTATACTATTTTTATTTTTTTTATTGCTGCTATTATTATTACTATTTACTATTATATTATTATAGTATTCCAATGTTGTAATAGAAAAGTTTACATTTTCTGCATTTATTTTACGTTGTATTGATAAAAAAATATTACTATTAATTATAATATTATTATAATAAATAACATATAACATATAATACATTATTATATTGTGTATATCTAAAAAAATATAATTTATATAAATACGATTGGTTTTTATTTTCCATTTTGAGTGTTCTTGCTTGTTTTTAAAGAGTAAAACCTGAGTTTATCAAATTCAGAGGCGTAACGAAGATTTTTTCATAAGGGAACAACCAATTTGATTGATTTACTTATCGGCAACCGATTTGGTTACTGTGATGTTAAAAAAAAATGTCTAATTGGTTGATTGAAGTAATTTTAGGAGGGCAAGCTACCCTCTTTAATTAAAACATTGATAATATTATTTTTGTAGGAAAGTTATTTAAAATCATTTAATAACTACAACCAATATATTTCTTTCGTTATTCTTCTTCCTATATTTTAGTTTTATTGATATTTATATATATTACCATTATCGACACAAAATATTGATACTTGTTTTCAATAATATATATCAATGTATAATAACAAGGTGATTAAGTGAAGGCACAAAGGTTATAAGGAAAATGACTATCATAGAAGTAACCATATACTAGAAACCCTAGTTACTTAGTATAATCATAGATTAAATACACATAGATATACCACGCCGTACATAATTTTGGCAGTCCAATTTTTATCATGAATGGTCGCAGGGAAACGATGCGCTGGACGCAGGCAATTATGCTGATAGATAGCGTACATTTTGAGTGCTTCTATTGGTTGAAATATACGTGGTATTTTAAATTTTTAATAATTATTAAATGAATGTGTGATGCACATAATTAAACTGTTATTGTTATGCACGTTAATTGCATTTTATGACATAATATAAGGTTATTTATGATTTTAAC